ATCGTGCTTTACCACAGGTGCTAGATGATCCAGGAAGGGCTTGTCAAACCGGGTAGGATAAAATTTGCGCGTAATGTTGATGATTCCAGGTCATGCAGAGAAAGTCCCGGAGTGTTCCAGCCTTGGCGCAAACATGATCTGTAGGTTTCGTGCCACTTTGGTAGGCATCAGCAGATGCAGGTGATGCATCGCTTGTTCGAGTTAGGTCTTGAGGAGTTCCTAAATGCCTGCGGCTTTGGAATACCCGCACAAAGCACAACCTTTCCCCAATAACAACATCGTGGGAAGGAAGCCGTGGCAAACGTGAAAGCTTGTAGCACACATGAGATACCTTGTCACACACGAGATACTTCGGAAGTCATGCTTATGTCCTTTGCATTGTAAGTCATCGGTAGATAGCAAAGGCACCGATGCCAGAGATCCACGAGACTCACCAACGCCACCACCCACATCCCGCTGTTTGTGAAGCTTCGTAGTAGCACACCTCTGATTGAGCTGAACATTGGGTTTTCGCGCATGCACTTGTTTGCATGCATGATGGGTTGCAACTAGCTATGGTAGAACAAAAGAGGGCTAATTAGTCTATAAAGCCAATGGCATCGAGGGCCCTGCTTTGCGTGTGTGAGGACTTTTGCATTCTGCCCACCCCTCAAAGGCAAGCTTGGTTGTGGCCGACAAGTGGCGCCTGGCACTCAGATGTGGACCGTTTGTCCCTCTTGCCTTGCTTGGAAGATCTTGTCTTGCAAAGTCGTTGTTCATGGTGTGGATGTGATCAGAAACGTTGGGTCCCTGGTGTTACGTCGGAGGGGCCAATGCAAAATACGTGCCGCGTGAGGTCACTCAATCTCAAGGCGCCCAAGGTACGCATTCACCGCAGAATACCATAACGTTCGCTGTGACAGGTTTTCCTCTGCAGATTCACTCATCGTATGATTCGCTTGCATGTCTACAGATAAATTTGTGCTCTTAAACACCTGGTCCGGCTGCTGTTGGGTGGAAGGTACTGGCGTAGGTCCAGGCTCTAGGACCTCTAGGATACAGGGGAGGTTTGGTTTAGGATCAAGTCTCGAACCCTTCTCCCCAGTCCAACTTCTTAAGCCACTTCTGGTCAAGAAGCTTTCGGAAAGGCCGAAACCTGGCTGAGCTGAAGCCTTGTGCATTCAAAAGCCCCAAAAAGCCACACGCGCAAGCTTGTAACAAGCAGTCTCTCCTGAGCTAAACCCTATAACCCTAAACCCTAAACCCTAAACCCTAAACCCGAAACCGAGCAGGCTTAGGCCTTGTTGATGGCACGCGCTGTGTTTGCGGCCCTGCGAACAGCCTCAGCCTTGCAACCCCCCCAAACCCTAAACCCTAAAGGCTAAACCCTAAACCCTAAACCCTAAAGGGAGCTGACTGCAAGCAACAAGTCTAACTTAGGGGGTGGGAATAATGACTCACAGTAATTCCCTTAGGGCCTGAGGGTCCATTTTATAAATAGACCAGAAGAACCCCCCAGAACCAACCTGTTCGAATTATTCAGGGCCCTGTATTAGGGCAAGTGTCGAAAAGAGGCATGTTCTGGATTTGCAGCAGACCTGGGGCTCCAACCAGGCACTTAAGAGGTTACAAGGGCCCCCAATGTTTTGTGTTTAGGGTTTAGGGTTTAGGGTTTCTACCAACCGAACGATGCGCCGGCGAAGTCCTTCGCAGAGTTTCTGCCCAGGCCCGGCGTCACTCGGCACGGGAAGCCTTTCGACACCTGCTGCCGTGGATGTGCTCTGGGGACGCTCAGGGTTCAAGACCCTCAAAGCCAAGACCTTGCTAGACTTGAGGGCTTGAGATCTGTTCGTTTTTCTCAGCCGTGAAGGTCCAGCATGCGATTGTGGCAAACTCCTGGCTTTCAGATTGCATGTTGCAATGGAGAGCCCAAAGCCACACGCACTAGAAACCACAGGGTCAATAGTCGAACCTATAACCGCTATAGCCTATGAATGAATATACCTAGAACCTAACATCCTTAAACCTTGTTATTCGGCTTGCAGGAAAGGCCATGACGGTCTCTGCGGAAAGATCAACCCTTCTCAGGCTGACAGTGGCACAACGTTTGTAGAGCTTTTCGTGGGATGTTTCAATTGCTTTGTCGGAGTGCTCAAGCCTCGAAGGGGGGTTGGGTGCAACTCACGTCAAAGGTGCCGCTTTGAGTTGCAAAGCGACACAGCTTCGGAGTTTTCAAGGTCAGCTCTTCACAGCATTCATGGCAACTTCTGGGTCCTAGGTTCATCTTATCCGAGGGTTTAGGGTTTAGGGTTTGAGGTAGGTGGCACAGAGCATAAGTTTGGAACATCCCGCAAGCTGAGAGAGAGAGAGAGAGAGAAGAACAAAAAACAGAGCGAGGGAGGGGAGGGAGGTAGGGTACGGTTCAATGGACAGCAACATCAGGCGCTGAATTTCAAACGATAAGCCAGGGAGCCACAACTGTCTCGTGCTTTAGGTCCTATATGAAGTCCCAAGACCTGTATCCCCAAATCATAGCATCCAGAATCTGAAGTGATCAAGCAGGTGGGCCCCGGCAAGTGCAAAATGGGTTGCGGCCTGCCCGTCGCTACAGGTGCCAACCGCTAAGGTTAAGGCTGGTAAGCGATGCACAATGGGCGAGTTTAAGCCTTTCAATCTCATGCCAAGGCTGGATGACGTTTGTTTTGTTTTTTGGTCGTTTGGATTGTCCATGGGGTGGAAGCACGGTGCAGCTAAAGAAGTCGTGTGCCAACCCATGCTGCACTAGCCTTTCATTTTGGACCTCGTATGGTGTGAAATAGCAGGTTTTCCTGGGAATCTAAACGAGAATATTTTTCAGCAGTTCACACAGCCACGTGCAAGACTTCAACATGCAGCTCTCACTCCCGAAACTTTTGCAATTTTATCTGCCACAGCAACTCGAAAGCTAGAGTCCTCAGGCCCTGAGCATCCTAACCAACCGGGATGAAGTTCTAAACCCTAAGCCCTAAACCCTAAACCCTTTCAACCCCAACCCTAAACCCTAAACCCTGCGACCGGTAGGCCGCGACTCTTCTGGCTGGGCCTTGGACACCTGCTGTTCTGGCCCTAACTAGGGTTTCGGGGTCCTTGGCTTTAGCCGCTGCTATTGTCATTATGTAGCGCCTCTTGTGGCTGCGATCTTCCAGGGTAGACCCCCTTGTTTAGGGGGGGGGGGGGGGGGGGGTTGGGTGAGGGAAGCCATCCCTGGAGCTCCAGAACTCCGTTCAGACCTGTGAAGTTAATTCCCGCATGTCGCGTTTTCTTTGTAGCTATCCCGTGTATCCAGGTGTAACATCAAGCATGCCGCAGGCTAGCCGCTAACGTTGAAGGCTGGTGAAGACCCACAAGCCACCGCCGGCGGCCTCCTCCAAATCGCACGATAGTTTGGAACCTGTGACGCACATTAAATTACCCGATCTCACCCCAACCTGGTGGGTGGTACAGCACTGAACACACCAAGACTTGAGCACGTTTTCACAGCAAAATACAAACGGCCTTCGAGCAGGAGCACCCAAACCCAGCGCGAGCCACAAATCCCACGCTGTTTTGCCTTTTCGGATCCTATGCCACGGTGATTTAGTGGAACTGCAAGACTCAAGCAGGAGCACGATTCCAGCATTCGCCCTCGGCACGGTATTGGCATAGGCACAGATCCCTGGAATCTAATGTAAAAGGCCACAGGTTTAGTGTTTAGGGTTTAGGATTTAGGGTTTAGGGTTGAGGGGTTTAGCGCAAAATGTTGGAGGAGAGGGTTCCCCCATGCAAGCCGAGCCGGGTTTGACCCATTCTAAGGTCGTGGCTGCGCAATGGCGAAGGTCGAAGGGGGGGGGGGGGGGGGGGGGGGGGGGGGGGGGGGGGGGGGGGGTGTGAGGGTGGTGCCCAGGGTTCGATCGAGAGTGCGGCATGCATTCATTGGAAGAACGTGTCAAAGCAAGAGGGCCGATAATGTCTGGCTCTGGGGTTTCGAGATCGTACCCCTGAAAGTTTGCACACCGACGAGGGGTTAATGTTTGGGAGTGTGCTTTGGGGTTTTTGGGGTGTGGGTTGAACTTGATGGTCTTGGCCGGCACTTCGAGAAACTCGAAGGACCTCATCCTTCGGCATGCCACTCGTGGTTTTGCACAGCAGGTTGTTGCAAGTTGCTTGTGGCTTGTCACCAGAGCATGATGATGTCGTGTCTCTGCTGGGTTTCTCTGGGCTTGTAGAGTCTAGGCTGCTTGGGCGCTAGAGGGTGAATCGGCAAGCAGCACCGTTTATGATCATCACGACCCTCACTAACAACTCCTCGCGCCTCGAACAGGACACGATGGCAAGTGCGGCAAGGATGTCGGTGCAAGTGACATTCCGTGCTCCCTCTCCTGCCCCTACACTCCAAAGCCTGCAAGCCCCAAGCGCAGAGCCGTTAACCCTATGTAAACTCTCGTTTGGCAAGTGTTCAGAATGCTTGTTCCATTTCGCCACATGCAACCGGTTAGCTTCCAAGTGGAGGACGAAACACAAAGAAACGAGCCATTGAACCCAATTTTCTGACTACAGTAGCACGAGCTGTGGCCGGCACGTAAGAAAGACTTGGCTGACCCACTAATGGATCCAGTCGCGCGCAAGACGAGGAATGTCATCGCACATAAAGTGTTCCTCAGCTCCTTAACGCCAGGGAGGGCTGCACCACCACTGCGTCCGTGCAGCTTCAGCAATGTATCAGCAGACCTCCATGCAGGCGAATTGCCGATGCCTGGCGCGCATGTATTCACTATCACGGCTAAAATTCAACCCCAACTAGAGATGGACAAAACAGTTGAAAATCGTGACATCGACAACCCTGAACAGAGATGAAACCCAGACTGAGGAAAACTCAAACCATCCTGCACGCGAAACAGCCCAGCAGCCCATCGCCAAATTGGAGATTTGCTTCTCCTAAACCCTAAACCCTAAACCCTGAACCCCGCGTCTGCAGCTTGGCTCGCAGTGGCCTCGCGGGTGCCATGGAGACTGCCGCCCTGGAGCGAGGAAACTGCCGGGGCCTCCTGCGAAATCGGGTTTCGGATTTGATTGCCTCAATCCTAGAAGGTTAACACAAGATTTTTCGTTCCCAGCAGAAGGTGTTAAGCTAAGCCGCGAGATGTGGATGGCATGGGCTAGAGTTTCGAGTCTGAAGTCTCAGGCTGTGCTGTTTCCAGCCTTCTGTTGCCAGGTAGGTTTAGGGTTTAGGGTTTAGGGATTAGGGTGTAGGGATTAGGGTAGGTTATCATCTCTACCTTGCACCACTGCTTGTCCCTGCTTGTCCCAGGTCATACCTGCAGACAGCGTCGGGTACTGGGCTGTTGGCTCAACAAAGAGGCACCAACCTCAAGTTCAGCAGTTCTGGCCGAGAATCATATGGGTTACAGCAAATACCACTCTGACTCTAAATATAATCTGTATATGCGTACTCTTGCTGTATATATATATATATATGTGTGTGTGTGTGTGTGTACGCGTGCGTATGTGCGTGCGTATCTTTTGCCGCTACATGCATACTGGCTGCTGGGCTTGGCTGCGACGAGTTGTTGACTCACCATCCTGATCATCGGGGTTTGCGTGTAGCCTTGTAAGCACGAGAGATGGGGCACAGGTGGACGTCTGCTGCAACTCGAAGGGGCATGGTCATCCTACGATAATTTCCTACAGCCCAAATCAGCTGTCCACTGCTCCAAGCATTTGTCCCCCAAGCAAACCCTGAAGTCTGGCACGGCGGTTGTTGGTGGGTTACTTGTTCCTACGCGCGTCGCTGTGGCACGAGAAGCTGTTCAGGCCGGAGAAGCTGCTTTTCGCTGCTGCGCTTGCCTCGACGCGTCGCAGAAGTTGAATCAAGTACTGTCCAGGGTTGGGTGGGGGGCTACGTTCGGGGCTGACATGCCTGTAGCAGTCCGCAATCAATCCGCAAACGGTGCAGCCAAAATCCAAGTTGCTTGAAACACAGCGAAGCCCCAGCCTTGGGAGATCGGCGTGGATATTTCACCTTTAAGAGATCATATTGGGAGTGCTCGGCTATATATAGCGCAGCGAACGCTACGAACGCATCGATCAGACATGAGGATGAACACGGAAGCGGAGACGTTGCTGACATGCCAGCAGGGCAGCTGATCGGAGGCGCTTGGTGGGGCATAGCGAGTTTAGGCTTCAAGGAAGTCCACTCACTTTGGTGCTGCAGCTCCAGGATCGCCATGGAAGATGCATTGCAAGAAGCACTGCTCATTAGTTTGCAGAACTGGCTGAACATGAACTGGCATAAAGTTTAGGGCTTTAAAAGACGATCATCCCAAGGTCAGCCCACAGGTTCTTGATGACAGCCCTCAAAGTCTTGTCCTCTTGGCAAAAGCGACAGAATCAGACCTCAGAGGCATTTCAGGGTTCAAGGTGCTGGCAGAAACACACAGCTTCCCTGCCTGTTTTTGCTGCAGCCCTTGTGCCCCAGATTGTGCGACAAACTGGTGGGCGTGCTCCGAGCCACCAGAGCACCTGCTGGACGTCCCACCAGGCAAGACATACCCGATGTAAAGTCCTGAACAAGCCCTATAAACCCTAAACCCTAAACCCTAAACCCTAAACCCTGTGTCAGCTAGGCGGGTGGCAAAAAAAACCCTAAACCCTAGCCCTGCCTGCCTTGTGCGAGTGCGAGAGCCGAAACCCTAGCCCCCCAAGCGTGAATGAGCTTCAGAAGTCTGGGGACGCTGGGATTTCTTCGACACATGATCTGCAAAGACTGCAAAAAGGCTAGAACTGGGACCCTCCACAACCACAATGTCTTCCTCTTGCCGAGCCTAAACGTGTGACACAATCGCCAGCCAACCTGGTATGTACCTGGTGCAGGCTTGGCTCGTTGGACCCTGTTGAATGTGTCTTGAAACGATGCGAAGGCCACAGCGGCATAATCAAGGGAATGAGCAGGATGCCAAGAGAGGCTATACAGGTACTGTGCTCAGCGAGACCTGCCTGGCAAAGATGAACCCCCAAGAGGGAAGCTATGCCCCAGCTGGGCGTTAGGCAACAGGCACCTCATGAAGTGCCATCTGTCCTTTGTCAAGATCGTGCGCACCAGGCCCCCCTGGCTAACCACATTTCTTGACTGGATGGGAAGCATCCAACCTCCGCACCTCTCAACTTCGCTTTTTGGCAATCCTGGAACCTTGCGTCTAACCTCGAGGATTACGGTCAACCTTGGCGATGTGGGACTCGAACACGGGGGGCCGAAGATCAAGGAATGAAGTGCGGGGAGCGAACAGGGATCGATCACAAGGCGATGGACCGCGCGCTTACTCGGCTTGCTTGCTCTGGTCAGTTTGACATTGAACCAAGCTGGTAGTCACTCCCTCAGATGCACAGCACGACATCGGCACGACTTGGCTCAACAAATCCCGGAAGCCGAAATTGGATCAGAAGACATAGGTGCATACTCTCCTCTCACATTCATTGGCAAGGACCCAAGGACCCAAATAGGCCACAATGTTTTGCTAGCGTTTGCGTGTTCATGTCTCTAGCCTAGCCCTTTGCGGAAGAACAGCATTCGGCTCAGTTCAGCAAGGTCAAGGCACGAATCCACAACATTTTCTACATACCTTCGAAATGGTTTAAAGAGCCAACCAAACCTAGGAAGAAATTTTTCAAAGCCCCCCCGAGACCTTTCAAAGCTATCATTGGCGGAGGCTTTCTCTCGCTCTCACACTGGAATCTGGGCCAGTCAGCAGCCGAGCTACGCGCAAGCACCAGTAGGGTTTTCGGGAAACTCAACATGTACTCATGGACTTTATTAATTCGGACTACAGTGCAGACTTAGAAGGCTTATCACTCACCCCTGTGACGAGTATTGAGGACGAGTGGTTTTGTGTCACATCGCCTGCTAGAAATACGCACTGGCAAACGTCCACACTGGTAAAGCACACTTTGGGGCAATTTTCTTGAGATCAAGCTTCTTGTTCTTGATCTGTGGGGAGCGCGTACCCACGCACCCAAACGAAGAATAAGCTGGTTGATCAGCACAGCTTGTGATCAGAGGCATCACAGTGCCCGCGCGGTCGAGTGTCGAAGCATCAGCTTCCCAGTCTTGTCTTCTGTTTGCCAGTGCCGCGCAGACTTCTTCAGGTGCAGCACCTGAGGGGTCTCAGAGCGGGTGCAGATACCCCAAGCCACTCTTCGACACACGGGCCCCATGCAAATCTCCAAACCTAAGCCCCAAAGTGTGATGATGTGTGCACAGGCTAAGACCTCAGGATAGCAGTAAGCTTCTCGAGCCCCAGCCGGCCTGAGCCGAGGCTTTTCACCACCGTCTGCGACCCTGACCACTCCTACTTCTCTGGCTTAGGTGCCTTGGGAATGCACAGAGATACTGTGAAGAGGCAGGAGCGAGCAGGTTTCGAAAGTAAAAAGGACGCTTATTTCTTGCCGATGCATCTTCGCAACTCAGTCTATTATAGGGGTGGGGATGGTTCGTTTCTCGCAATGTGTCTTTGAGAAGGGCATGGCAGGGCATGGAGCAAGTCACTGGGGGAAACAGGGAAGACCCTGAAGAGAGCGACAGGCAGGAATCCTGAAATTGCAGTGCTAGGCCTGGATAGACGCGTCGTTAAAACCACGAGACCTCGTGCGATTGCAAGGTGCCGAGCGCGTTTGGCACGCTGGACTGGAACTGGCACGGCACTTGTGGCAATCATCCTGGCCAACATCGCCCTCTGCTCCTGGCCACCGAAGGGTCATAGTGCGGGTGGATTGCCTTGTTTGTGTTTGCACCGATGGCGCCCTGCAGCGATATCTTTCAATATCAACTTCGGCTGGCAGCCTTGTCCCGTTGGCTAAACTTGCAGGCCCGTAGCTGAAATTACAAACCCCCACTGCGTCTTGCACCTGCAAACCCATGCTCTAGGAATATGGCGAGGACAATGGTTCAGGAACACTCTCGTCGCAATGCCCTACGCGAAAAGAAGGTCCACCGGCTAGGAACAAGGGCCCTCTTGGCGATGCATGCTGCGTCGGACACTCAAACGCTGGGAGCAGCGAGGGCAAGTTCGAAATCACTCCCAGGGAGCGAGCTGGCTTGGAAGGCGCTGGAGGGCGATGGTTCCGTACCACAGACACTTAGCGCATGCAAATTTGGCAGGTTTAGGTTAGTCGATATTTCGTGAGCCAAGAAATCGGTCAGCCTGGGCGTCGGGTAGACGTGTGTTGCAAGAACACCGACCGGGAATCGCAAAAACCCAACAACAATTCAAAGCCCAAGCCCCGCGTTGTCAACGTGAACGACGAGATTATACGAGATCTGAAGCGCCCTCCCCTAATCCCTAAACCCTAAACCCTCCCAGGTCAACCCCCTGTCGCCCCAGCTGGATTTAGATTATTTAAATTCTGGGGCCTCCCAAATAATTTAAACAATTTAGTGCAGGAGGGAAAAAACCCCTAAACCCCTAAACCCCCAAACCCCTAAACCCGAAACCCCAAACCCCAAACCCTAAACCCTAAACCCCTAAAACCCAAACCCTAAACCCTAAACCCTAAACCCTAAACCCCAGGTCGTTGAGCTGGGAGCCGGCTGCGGTCTGCCCCGTGCTTGGGGGCATCCGGAGTTCGGGTTCGGGCGTCTCTCAGGCTGCGGTTGAGGGTTTAGGGTTTAGGGTTTAGGTTATAGGGTTTAGGGATTAGGGTTCAGGGTTGCAGATTGTATGAATTGAGCATGCACTTGATTGATCCGTTGACTTGCAGGATAAGCTTTGGGGGGGGGGCAAGTCAACCAGGAGTTTGGAAGTGCAGGCTGTTTCACAGGATTTGCGAGCCCACACATTCAGAAACTTGGAGCTAGGTGCTGTGATTTCGAGCACTACCACCATCTCATTTTTGCGTAGATGATCGTCAAGAATTCGTGTTCCTGTGCCCTGAACTAGGCCCGGCATGGTCCTCGCACGACGTGGGGCACGCGTGACCCTCACCGATGTCCCATGGTTGCCCCAGGGCTGCAATTCGTCCTCTCAGGCCCTCCGCAGGGTGCCTGCCGTGACCTCTTGCAGCGCGCCTTGCCTTTCTACCCTCCATAAAGAGCATGGTAGGCACAACTTCAATGACCGTAAACTCTCCGGTGTGTTTCGAGGAATTCGCTTTGGAGATGCGCATTGTTGAGCCCCTAAATTCCAAAGTGCAATTTTCGGGACACTTCTTACACCACAGAACTCAAAACCCTCAAGCTCAGGCTTAAGCTCATTGAGTACAACATCGAGGCGAACTTTGTTGAAGACGACCCCTTGCGCCCATCGGCCCCTTGCCATGGTTATGGCACCGGGCTTCAGGATCAAGTCTCTTGAGCTCTTGGGTCAAGGACGCGCGCATACTGGAGTTGACACATTGACATGTCGACATGCCCGAAGGTGAGTTCGGGCACACGTCGCCAGTGGGTTCTTCTGGATTCGCAATCCTGGTTTCGGCCTGTCATACTCATGCCAATATCTCCGGGACAATTTTGCTCGTAGCAGAAAGAAGGGAGTGGAGCTCAGCCGTGATTCAAGAAGGCCCCCTACCTAGTAGTAGAGTGGGCAACCTTTAACCTTTTTGTGGTAATATAATCCCCTTTATTCCCAAAGGTTAACCTTTAATTCCCCCAGGTTACTGGACAACTAAGCCTACGCCAGCAAACAGTGCTAGGCGGGTGGCAAAAAGCCAGCAAACGCAAGCGACGTGCGCACCGCCAAGGTGTCTTCACTGCGGTGGGGCAGCCAGGAGGACCTTCGAGAACTGCAGAAGGACGGCGCTCACAGCTCCCACAACTTTGAGGGCTTCCAGGTCTCAGGTTTTCGGGGCCGAGGTATCCAGAGCTTGTACCTTTAAACATTCCTGGAAATCGTGTGAGTTACTTGTAACATAAAACGGACCCCGGAAGCCAAGGGTGTTTCTGTTGGGTGACACAGAGGGCTTTTTGGTTGCCACCTGACAATCTCGCACACTGTGGGGACGGAGGGGTTTAGGGAGCTTGGGGGGGGGGGGGGGGGGGGGGGGGGGTGAAGGGGAAGGAGGGGAAGGAGGGGAAGGGGGGGAAGGGGGGAAAAGGAGACAGAAAGAAGCTTTCGGGGTCAGGCCATGTGAAGTCTCGGCTCACCAACAGCAAGGGGGGGAGGGGGAAGGGGGGTTTAGGGTTTAGGGTTTAGGGTTTAGGGTGGTTACAGAGGAGAAGCTGGCTAACTTTGTGGGGAACGGGTGGTTCCCCCACAAATCCTCTGACCGTACGGCGGGGGCAGTTGTGAACTTCACATTTGGGTCGCTTGCGAATTTGGGAGAAGTATTGGGATGGTATTGGGATAAGGCCGGATAAGGTCTTAAGCAAATACAGTTAGCATGTACCATTTCCATTTTCTAACCATGCACACCCCCCTAGGCCACCTGAAGACGAAAAAGCAATGACAACCTATACCTCAACCTTCAACTCACCAACATACCCATAGCAAAACCCACATGATGAACACCATACTATGGAACCATGCCCAACCCCACAGAAAATAGCATACGCAACCCCATACACCAATACCCCCATAGAAACCCATACTACCCAACCCCAAACCCCTAACCCTAACCCTAGAAAATGGACATGGTATTCTCTAGCAACATATCTATAGCAGGAATAAGGTTTCGGTTTGAGGTCGAACCGACTAGAACGATACTTGTAGCATAGCATGAGCTACTTGTCTAAATCCGTTTTCAGCTTCAACCGCACCCTCTCTGGAGCATTTCTTCCTGCATCCATCTGGGTTTTTTCCATAGAACCCCCTAAACCCTAAACCCCCTATATGATCCCTTAAGGGGGCCCCCCCGATAATCCCCCTTGTAAACCCTCTAAATACACCGTGGAGTCCCTGAGGACCCCCTATTTGAGAGACTCCCATCAGTGGCCATGAGAAAGCTGGCCTCGCATTTGCCGGGTTCTTTTGGGCACAAAGGGGTTTAGGGTTTAGGGTTTAGGGTTTAGGGGGGCGCCATTCCAGTCTTTTCTTGCGGTCCGTCCTGGCTCTTGGTGCGTTCCCACACAGGGTCAGTCACGCGGGCAAGGCAAAATGAACAGACGGACTCGGGCTTGCGCAGTCTCATCACGTTCCGGAGATGTTCGAGTTTCCAACAGTTGTGTAGTGAGGACGAGCGTATTCAACGGACATGTGCAGCGCGGCTTGCCACCAGAGTTCGGACCAGTTTCAGCATTCTCAGTGGGCGGTGCTCATACTTGTGCAATGCGGGCAGATGGTCAGCTCGTTTGCTTTGGACGCAACGGTGGTGGGCAGTGCGGCGTCCCAGCAGATTCGGGACCAGTTTTGGCAATCTCAGCGGGTGTTTTTTATACTTGTGCAGTGCGGTCAGATGGTCAGCTTGTATGTTTTGGAGACAACGATTCTGGACAGTGTGACGTGCCAGCAGATTTGGGACCAGTTTTGGCAGTCGCGGCAGGTGATTTTCATACTTGTGCAGTGCGGTCAGATGGTCAGCTCGTCTGCTTTGGATGCGATGGTGCTGGGCGGTGTGACGTCCCAGCAGATTTGGGACCAGTTTCAGCCGTCTCAGTGGGCGGCCCTCATACTTGTGCAATGCGGGCAGATGGTCAGCTCGTCTGCTTTGGATTCAACGGTCGTGGGCAGTGTGACGTCCCGGCAGATTTGGGACCAGTTTTGGCAATCTCAGCGGTTCTTCTTTCCCATCATCGTTAAACTTAATTTCACTTTGAATTGATTCCTGGGTTTTCGGGCTTCCTTCGGCGTAATGTTGACCTCGTAATAATAAACCCCCCCCCCTTCAATCAAACCCCCCCAAATAGAGTAGGGCCCCTTTGAATAAGGATTCCTTTCCTTAGAGCCCCCCTTCAATCAAACTCCCCCAAAAAAAACCAGCCCCGACTTGGCGTACTTTATTCCCCGGGCTTTATTATTGCGGCCGGGACCCCTGGCGCACTTTAATATCAGGGGGTTCAATAATACGAGGTTAACATTAAGTCCCGTGGCCGAGTGCTTCATTTGATGATTATAGGTTAGTTATATTTCCATTGGACGTTTTGTTTTCCTTTTTTCTCATTCGCTTCAACTCTCCTATACAACAGATCTTAAAAGCTCTAATGGCTCTTTCACTAAAATTTGGGTATGCCCTCGTTCTATGATGTTCTATGTTCTCTTCCCTCAAATATTTGTGTATCGCCTCCTTGTTCATTGCCCCCGCGTCGTCTGTATAAAGTTTCTTTTCCATCTTGTTTACACAATCAGTCATCCCACTCGCCAAAGCCTCTTCCTTTTCGCCTTTTACCGGCACTACATGCATAAACTTATCAAACGCATCACTCATCAGCATGCCTACCCTAATCTTTTTTGTTCATCCAAATTGTTTATAAAAAAACACATCCATCTGATATTCACAAGCGGGATGAGGGGCGATAAAACTGTTTTAGGGTTTAGGGTTTAGGGTTTATGGTTTAGGGTTTAGGGTTTAAGGGTTTAGGGTTTTGGTTACCGGTTTTCTTTTTTGCTCAACATGTTTCTAAACTCGTCAGTATCTCCCATTGCTGTAGTTTTGTCTTTCTCCCATGCTTCGCTTCATGTCTTTTGTTTTGAACCATACGTTGCCTTATCGAAATATGCATCATTAATGATTTTCTGTTTCTCGCTCATGAAAATAAGTAGCAAAAATAATGATTTAATATAATGAATAAAAATCACATTTCAGGAATTGGGCCTACTCATTTTGTATCCGCTCGTATTTGGGAGCTCCGCGTTTCTTTCCACTAAGTTTTCTGACAGTAATGATTTCGGTAATTCGTGTCGGTGTCAAGTCTTCTTTCCCTAACCCTAAACCCTAGCATTCCTTAAGTTTCTTCTTTTGGGCGTGCCTTAAACTTGCTTCGGGCTTCTTCTGCATAAACTGCTCATCCTCTTTCCTTTTAGTATAATTCAGCTTTTGATACAATGCCAGTTGTTGCTGAATCTCATCCATTGTCATATCCTCGGGACTTTTTAAACTTTATCATCTTACTATACTATATATTAATAGTTTATCTTTAGATATGGTTTTTTCTACATATAGAGACAAATCTTTAGAAGAAGCATTTAAACACATTTAAACTTATATTTTAATTATGTTGTAGATGAGCAAAAGTATTAAGCGTAACACGAGAGCACTTCAAACAACCTACGACAACTACAAAAATCGCTTGACGCAAAGCACCAGAACAAATATCCAAAATCTGATTTGTTTTTATGAAAACCGTAAAGTAGCACAATCACCACCGCCGATAGTTTAATCAGACAGTTTATCACCGCAAGAACGGACAAACAGAAGACCAAAGCAAGCAACGCATACGACAATCCACGACAAACACTACGACAAAGAATCCCTAGGGAGACGAATGCAGTAAGCAAAGAAGGAACACAAAAAACGAAATAGCACCAAAATCTACAAGAGATGCGTTGCTTTACAGACTGAAGGACGAAAAAAGAGAAAAGGAACTCAAGACTGCATTTAAAGATAGCAAAGGCAGAACCTACGTGATTTTATTAGAAGACCCGAAAACATTGAATGTAAAATCTACTAATTAGACAGAAGACAAAGTTAGAAAAAGAGTATTCGCACCGAAAGAGACTGCAAGACTGTTCTTAAAGTTGTATACTACCTTACAAACCGACCCAGAAGCGAGGGACGAGTTAGAATTTGTCAGTGTAGAACGGATTGATGGCGATGTCAATTTCGACCCGAAAAACGGTGGGGAAAAAAAAACTAACAAACACCGGTTTTTTAAGCATGTAAAACATCTGTATTCCAACACCTTCAGGCCCCCGAGTTTGAAACTTTTAAGGAAGCGATAAATGTAAAGCATTACAAGCAAAACGAGTGTTGGTTTAACACCAGAACCGATTGGTATAAGCATGCGCGAATAGGCGAGAAGAGAAAGGAAAAGAACAGATTAACAAAAGGAAGCAAGCTAAATCTGATGAATAAAACCGAAGATGAGTTCAACAGGAACGGGGCATTAGTACAGGACATGGTGCCAGTGTTTGAACACTACGGCATACAAGTAAGGATATTTAACTTGAAACTCATTTTCAAATATTCACCTACTAAATGCAACCACCATATCCCGACATTATACGCCCTAGTCAAAAATCATCATATCTACACAGCAAACGGCAACCTACTCAGATGGTGGCCATCCGTGAAAATCAAGATGTAGCGGTTAAGGCATCCCGAGATTACCACATAAACGAGAAAGACGAACCCACTGAATGTAAAATGATACAGTCCTTAAGCGGCCTTAAGAATTTCTGAGAAAAAGACGAACACGCACTAATTTACGATGGTAATGATTCAACCCAGTTATTTTAAGAAACCAAGTTTACATTGAACAGAAGAGCATACGATACAGGATTAAAACGCAAAAATTAGTGACCAGTTTCGTTGATGGAACTATAACAGTAAGAACGGAACAGATCTACAACAATATGTATTCAGGACATTGAGATAGATTATGGCGATCTAATCAGTCCTAAAGAATAATAAACCAATAGTAATATTCGTTTGTTGAAATAGTAATATTGTTGTTTCTTGTTTAGATATGTTATTGAGGAATACCACTTCCATTTTCAAGGGTTAGGGATTTCGGGTTGGGGAATATGGGTTTTTCTATGGGGGTATTGGTCTATGGGGTTGAGGTTGTTTTTTTTTTTGTGGGGATGTGGGTAGTTCCATAGTATGGGTTCTTCAGGTGGGTCTTGGGTTGAGGTCTT